CCAACTGTGCAATGCATTTGCGAGGGGTTAAGCCCCTAGCCAGATGTCCCACATTTTGGGATTTGCGAGGGGTTAACCCCTAGCCAATAATTATATTGAAATAATTATATTAGAATAATAATATTATATATAATAAATTTTTATTACATTTTATAATTATATTATTATAATTAGAATAATATAATTATATAATAAAATATATATATTAGAATAATAATATATTATATAATAAATTTTTATTACATTTTATAATTATATTATTATAATTAGAATAATATAATTATATAATAAATAAAAATATATTTAAATATAATTATATAACAAATAAAAATATATATTTTGTAAAATAATAATTTAGAACTAAAAGTATAATAAAAGTAAATATTCAAATCCATCATTAAAATAAAAATAATTCATGACAAAAATAAAATAAAATATAAAAATATATATAATTCATAACACATTTAGTCAACTTCTTCATCATCCCCCTCATCCTCCTCATCCTCCTCATCTTCCTCATTTCTTCCTCCCACACCTTAATTCATATGCATTGCCATAAATTGTTCAAATTTCAATGCGCGCTCATTTGCAATCCGCATTGCTTCCTCATACTCCGTTGTTTTTCTCTTCAATTCTTCCTCCATCTGAGCTTGTCTTCTCCTCATTTCCTCCATCTCTGCTTGTCTAGCTGCTACCTCGGTCTGAGCCAAATTTCTCACAGTTTCAAGCATATCAGCGGTTAATGTAACACCCATTTTAATTATTTTTGGTTTCTGTGATTATTTTATTCGTGGGTGTATTTTGAGAATTATTGTGAAGGTCAAGAGCTCATAATATTAATAAATTGTGATAAAATGTGATAATTGATAGTAATGTAAAAATTATTATTAATTATTATCATTATTATTGCTAATATTAATATAAATGAGAAAATGTTATTAATTGGATTTTTGAATTAAAGGAATTAAGAGAATTATATTTATTTTGAATTAAAAAAAAAAGATTATTTGGGATGAGGGGTAACATTGCCATTTTGGAAAAATAGAATTGGAAAGAATAGGAGAACACGGTTGAGCAAGAGGAGAGCTACACGATCAAGAACAACAACTTAGCAAGCGGATTTCATGTGGATTGAGGAGCTTGTTCATCATCAAAGCTTGATTTGAGGTAAGGGGGGAGAATAATCGGTTAAATTGGGTAAATGCATGATTAATCGGTAGAAAGGGGGAAATCCCTAATCCCCATAGATTTCTTGATGTTTGATGTCGATTGCATGCTGTTATTGATGTGAATGTTGTGTTGTTTGATGATTAATTCGTTTGCATGTGCTGGGAATATTGGGTTGAATGAGTTTGGGGTTTTAGAGTAGTTCCGGAGTTATGCCGAAAGTCGGTAAATTGAGAAGATGATGCGTTTTGTCGGATAGAATCGGGAATAGACCCGTAGCTCAGTGGTAGTATGTTGGTAGTTGTGAGTTCTGATTTAATCGGGCGGAATCGGGAGTGGATGATGATTCTGGTGCGCAGAATTTTTCTGAGTACGCAGGTATTCGCTGGGCGAATGAGGGGCGAGCCTTCGCCAGGCTTCGCCGGGCGAACTAGCCAGCGAGTGCTGGCAGAAGCTTCTGTTTGGCTTCGCCAGAGGTTTCGCCAGGCGAATGGCAGCGAGTGTTCGCTGCGGGGCTTCGCCGGGCGAATGTGCCAGCGAGCCCGACAGCAGTTTGTGATTCTGCTGTTGTTTTTGTGTTGTTCCGCTGTGGACTTGGACCCTCGTTGGTCATGTGTGACGAGAGGCTTGTTGGAGAGCTGATGCGAGCGTATGTTGGAGGCTGTAGGGCTGTTTAGTCGGCGTTTATCGCAAGTGGCCTAATTGGTGGAGTACACATTATGTATGAACTGGTGGAGATGTGTACGTGAGATGTGTGCACCGTGTGTGTGCTGTGTGTGAGATATGAGGATCAGTATGATTGTGACGCCTTGAGCGCGTTTTGTTGGTGCGTTGTGGTGAGTGGATCCGTGAGGATCGATACGCTTATTATGAGTTGTCATTGTGTGCTATTACGTGATGTATTAGGTCAGTAGGACCGACATGCCTTGTGTGCATTGTGTGTGATAAGTTGTGTGGTGAACGGATCCTTGGGATCGACGCACTGTGTGTGCTTGTTATGTATGTATTTTATGATGTGAATGGATCTGTGGGATCGATACGCCTTGTGCGTTGTGTATATGTATATGTTGTGTGAGGGTGGATCAATAGGATCGGTTTGCACTTGGTGTGCTAGATGTATGTTGTGTGTGAATATGGTTGTGTGCTCCCTGTGAGGAGGGTGATGGCCAGTTGTCCATCGTTAATTTGTTGTGCTCCCGTTGAGGAGGCTGATGGCCATGTGTCCATCGATGTTAATGTGTTGTGCTCCCGTTGAGGAGGGTGATGGCCATGTGTCCATCGATGTTAATGTGTGGCGCTCCCGGTGAGGAGGGTGATGGCCAAGTGTCCATCGGAGATGTGCTCCCGTTGTGGAAGGTGATGGCCAGGTGTCCATCAGTATTGTTGTGGTGCTCCCATTGTGGAGGGTTGATGGCCAGTTGCCCATCAGTGTGGTGTGCTCCCTGAGTGGAGGGTTGATGGCCAAGTGCCCATTGGTGATATGTTCTCCTGTAAGAAGGGTTGATGGCCCGGTGCCCATCGTGAATTGTGAGTCGGTATCGTATGTTAGAGTTGTGTGAGCGCATTTGTTGCGTGATTGTATATTATGGTTGATGGTGGGACCGTGAGTCCGGATGATATGTATATGAAATGGTATTATTATTGATTTCTACCTTTTACTTCATGTACTACTATGCCATTATTATTTAATCGTAATTCTCACCCCTTTGTTGTTGTTGTGGTCTGTGCTTCTTCGGAAGTACAGACAATCCAGGTGTTTAGCTTGTTGGATTGTAGTGTCTCCGTAGGGCTGCTCTGATACGTAACACCGGGGCGTTTTGGGAGTTTTTCTATCGATGTTGATATGTGTGCCCTTGTGGCGTATCTGTCTTTTGTATATGTGTAGTGATGTTTGTTAATGTTGTGTATTTTGGGGCAGATGGCCGTTATTGTATATATGATGATGATGGGTATGGATGATGTATGTATATAATATTTTGTGTTATGACAGACCATATCTTTTTCCGCTGCAATTTTATTGAAAAATTCAGTTAAATTATTTGGAAAAAATACTTGTGGAAAATTGATGTGTATTGTGGCATCCCGTTTGGGAGAGAAATTCTGATATGTGTTTTAATTGTTTATTTTATGTTATTTTGGGAACGGGGTGTTACAGTTAATATAGGTGGACACGATGATCCTTCTCCATCATCAAGTCTCATCCTGAAAGTCCTATCACGCCGGTTAATTGTTTTGGCATACCCTCCAGCACCATACACCCTTCCATTTTTCCTCTTCCCGCGAGCAGCATCATACCAAGTCTGAAAACCTAGACAAGGATCAACAGGGTATCCCTGTGGTGGTGGAGGTAACTCAGGATGCTCAGATAAAGAAAGTGCAAGTCTTCGATCATACTCCTCCTATACAAAAAATTTAGATGTTATAATAATTTAAATAAGATGACTAAACAACATGTTATAAAAGAAAGAAATAGAATGACTAAATTTTAGCAAAACTTACTTGAGTTTCCTTTGAGCGTTTATCGACAAACTCCCCATTTTTCTTGATATGAGTCTCTAGATGGATCTAATTAAGCATCGGAGTTCTACCCAACTCATCACGCTAATAAAATAAAACATATAAGTGAAAAAAATAGTTTGTTTTAATCTAAATTTTAAATGAAAACTTAAGTAAAATAAATATATTTACCAGCCTATGTGCAATTTCAGCAACACTAATACTTCCTGCTGCGTAGTTGCAGCCACCAATTTCAGATGCCCTGTTTTTTTTTGCTTTTTCAGATATTTGCTTAAAGGATTCCGAATTCCAATGGTCAATAAGTTGCTTAAATGCATCTTCACCTATCCAGGAGGACTAATAAAGGCCGGCGCAGATATCGGTGGGAATGAAGGAAAATCAGGTGTGGATAGTAATCCGGTGAAAGATCCGCCAGACATGGGTGAAGTCTGCATAGGAGGTGGAGTAGGGGGCACAGGCAATGGAGTAGGATGCACCTGACTCGAAAGTGGCATAGAAATAAACATAGATGAATCTGGAACCTCTTCTACAACAAACCTTGTGCGGCGAGCCTTACCCTTACCCTTTTCCTCACTTCGGGGTGGTATTTTTAAACTAAAATATTTCATAAAATGACAAAAAAGTAAATTAATTCAAGAAATTACACAAAAGTAAATAATATATATATAACAATACATATTACATAGTAGTATTATTACACAATAGTATAATTACATAGTAGTATTATTCATCATTGTAATCGTCACTGTCTTCATCAGATATGATATTGTCGTCTTCAGAATCTCCTGACTCTTCCTCCTCTTCTTCCACATGATTTGCTGATAAGAAGATGGTTGCATCAACTTGTTGACCCACAACCACAGTATCACCCAAACTTGTAATCTCCTCAATTTCGATTACCCCATTCACGAGTGAAATCTCATCATCTTGGTATGCAACATCATCTTCCATTACACCGTCAGATTCAATATAACCCATTGGATTGGACTTGATTACAACACACCATCCTCGTTTACTTGGTTGAATTGAAGGATAAGGAACATAGTAAACTTGCCTAACATTATGTGCCATTATGAAAGGGTCATACTCTTTGTACTTTCGATCCATTCGTATCTCAACAGTGTTATATTTTTATCTATTTTAGTTCCTTTGGAAGATGGATCATACCAATCACAATAAAATAGGACAAATTTATTTTCCGAGTCCATATAATTATATACCAACTCATAAATATGTGTGATAACACCATAAAAGTCGTCATCACCACCCTTTGTAACTCCTTTTACAACTACACCACTGTTTATTGTTTTCTTCCCTTATGTCCATGTTTGAGTGTGGAATTTATATCCGTTTACAAAGTAAGTGTGCCATTCATTTGCACGCTGATGAGGGCCTTCAGATAAACTTCTCAAATGAATTATTTCAGGACTTGGTGCAACAATGAAATATAATTGTTGCTTGAACCATGCTGGAAAATAGGCATGTGTGTAACCTGTCGATGGTTGTTCACCCGTGCTTTGAAAATAATAAGTATTAAATGCCCTATTTCAAAGAAGAAAAAATTTATGTTAAATAAGTATATTTAACAAAAAGAAATAAAAACTTAATTTAATATACTTACTCAAGATATAGTTTAACTTCAACGCAGTTAATCAACACGTGAACATGAGCAGATTGCATTTCTTTTTCAGACAACCAATGCACACTTGTCTTTCCAGAAGGACGACCGGGACGGCCAAAAACCGATAAGGTGAATTGACTTCTTTCACTAAAGTGAACTCCATTCCTTATGATTCTCAGAGTCAACATCATATGATTGAAATAATGTGAGCAAAAATGTGAAGTTTCTCGATGTAAATAATGTGCACATATTGATCCCTCAACTCTCGCCTTATTTTTCACAGATCACTTTGAATCACCCATGAATCGTTCAAATGGATACATCCATCTATATTGAACAGGTCCACCAAGGTAAGCTTCATAAGCAAGATGCACAGGGAGATGCTCCATAGAATCAAAGAAACTAGGGGAAATATTTGCTCTAACTTGCAGAGAATGATGGGAATATTTTTGTCTAACTTAAAGATGTCATCCACTCGTAAAGTTGACGCACAAATGTCTTTAAAAAACTTACTAATCTCAATTAGTGGATTAAGAACATGCTTAGGAAGTGAACTGAATGCAATTGGAAGCAATCGTTCCATAAAAACATGACAATCATGACTTTTCATTCCATGCAACTTTCCTGTTTTTGCATCAGCACATCTTGCTAAGTTAGAAGAATAACCATCGGGCATCCTCAACTCATTTAACCATCGACATACTTCTTTTGCTTCTTGGGGAGTAAGAGTGTAACAAGCCTTGGGTTTTAATAATTTTCCATTTGGTTGGGGTTTTAACTCCAAGTCTTTTCGATTACACAACAGTTCCAAGTCCTTTCTAGCCTTCTAATTATCTTTTGTCTTGCCTTGGACATCCATCACTGTGTTAAATACATTATCAAAAAAATTCTTCTCAATATGCATAACATCAAGATTATGTCGCAACAAATTATCCTTCCAATATGGGAGGTCCCAAAAAATACTTCTTTTTGTCCAATTGTGAGTATCCCCGTATCCTGGAATTCTGCATGTTTTACCATTATCTGTGAATTTTGGTAGGTCACTAACACTATTTCATACTTCAGTCGATGACAGTCGAGGGGGAGGAAGATTTGTTACTTTTATTCCTTTTCTAAAAGCATTCTTATTTTTTCTAAAAACATGGTTCTTAGGTAAGAATCTACGCTGACAGTTAAACCATGAACTTTTACCACCCATTTGCAAAGTAAACGCTTTTGTGTGTCCCATGCAATGTGGACATCCCATTTTGCCATGCGTACCCCAACCAGACAACATGCCATATGCAGGAAAGTCATTAATTGTCCACATCAAAGCAGCTCGCATATTAAAGTTTTGTCTGCGAGACACATCATAAGTCCATTCTCCAATCCACAGCCTCTTCAAATCATCAATTAAAGGTTGCAAATAAACATCTATTCCCGCTTTTGGACTCGATGGTCATGGAATGAGGCATGTCAAAAACATGTAAGGTTTCGTCATGCACATCTCAGGAGGGATATTGTATGGGGTAACAATAACTGGCCAACAAGAATAGGCAATTGCTGACGATTGGATATAAGGAGTAAAACCATCTGAGCATAACCCGAGCCTGACATTTCTGGGTTCTGCTGCAAAATCTGTATGTACTCTATCAAAGTGTTTTCATGCCTCGCCATCAGATGGATGTCGCATCATGCCTGAACTATTGGAATTTGTATGATGCCATGTCATTTGGCTTGCACTATAAATTGACGCAAACATCCTTTGCAATCTAGGAATTATTGGCAGATAGAACATGGATTTCACTGCAACTCGTTTTTGTTTTTGATCAACACCTTTACTTTGAACTAAATACCTCGGACTCTGAGAAAACTTACATTCCTCCAATCCCCCATCATTTGTACCAAACTCGTTATCATAAAACAACATACAACCTCCAATGCAACAATAAATCTTTTTCACTTTTAGTCCCAACTTCGACACCATTCTCTTTGCACCATAATAACTTTTAGGCATATTTTCTTTCACAGGAGTCGCATCCAACATCATTTTTGCAAAGAGTTCTAAACACTGATCAGGAACATTCCAATTTGACTTCGCGACCAAGAGTCTCACACACATGGATAACATGGAGTCAGAAGACCCCTCAAATAGTGGTATATTTATTTCTTTCAACAGTTGATAAAACTTTTGCGCTTCCTCGTTCGGGAGCTCATCTGCATCAAAATCTTGAGGTTCATCATAAGTCACATTCACCCCTAATGCATCACCAACCATATCATCTATGAGATTAAATTGTTCATGGTCTTGCAAATGTGATTGACTGCTTGATGTCTCTCTGCCTATCTCAACTCCAATATGTGTTTGACTGCTTGAAGCCTCTCTATTCATCTCTGGCAGTGTTTCTCCATTAGAATACCACACCCAATAATTTGGCCTAAAACCATCTTTCTCCAAGTGTCGTTTCACTTCATTTGGGTCACTAATTATATTTCTGCAACCACACTTTAAACACGAGCATCTTACCCCTCCTTCGCTTCGACAACATTCTTGAGCAAACGTATAAGTAAGAAATGCAACAACTCCTTCTTTAAAATGTGGTTTAAGACCACGTCTTCCTGGATACGTTCTATCATACATCCAACTACGATAGAACTGATAATATTCCATACTGCACATGTATAAGGTTGTTCATGTTTAAATTTATATTTAAGAAAAGGGGAATTGATCTACCTACAAACTTATGACTATTTACCTACCTAATATATACCATATTATGTTTCTACGAATTTACATGCTTTATAACATTTTAACTTACAAATTCTAGAATTATATGTTTCTACAAATATTATGTACGTAATATGTTATTAAAGTATAAAATATTTTACAACTTTAAAATAAAATTATAACATATTTTTACAAATTTATATAGTTTTTACAAGAATATTATGTTTCTTATAAATATATTACTAAATTATATTAATATTTTAAAAAATAAATAATTTTATGAAAATGTATTACAAATTATATTAATATTTAAGAAAATATATATTTACAAATTATATACTTTATATAAAAAGTTTGTATATGTAACTTAAATATATTATAAATTATATATTTTTATGATTTAACTCATACTTTTTAAATAAAAGTGTATATTAATATATATATATATATATATATATATATATATATATATATATATATATATATATATATATATATATATATATATATATATATATATATATATATATATATATATATATATATATATATATATATATATATATATATATATATATATATATATATATATATATATATATATATATATATATATATATATATATATATATATATATATATATATATATATATATATATATAATCTATTCTTTTATAAAAAAATATATAATATGTTTTCAAATTTAAATAAATAAATATTCTGTTTTTAAAAATAATATATAATATGTTTTAATATTCTGTTTTAAATATGTTTATAAATAAATAAATATTCTGTTTTAAATAAATAATATATAATATAAATCTGTTTTATATTCTGTTTAATATTTAATATAATATAAATAAATAATATTCTGTTTTAATATAATATAATATAAATATTCTGTTTTAAATATTCTGTTTTATATAATATAAATAATATATTCTGTTTAATTATATAATCTATTTAATATTTAATAAATAAACATTCTGTTTTATATAAATAAATCATAAATAATATATAATATTCTGCTTTAAATAAATATACAGTTTTAAATAATAAATATTCTGTTTTAAATAAATAAATAAATATTTTGTTTTAAATAAATAATATATAATACAAATCTGTTTTATAATATTCTGTTTATAATATGTTTATAAATATGTTTATAATATATGTTTTAAATGTGTTTATAATATAAATCTGAATATGTTTTATATTATAACAGATAAATATGTTTTATAATATATATAATATTAATATTTTTTATTAAAATCTATTTTATAATATAAATATTAAAATCTGTTTTATAATTAAATATATATATTTGTTATATTCATAAAAATATACATAATTTTCAACTGCCACCAACACATAATTTATTTCATAAAAATATACATAAATATGTTATGTTAAAATTTGTTTTATCAACAGCCACCAACACACATAATTTTCGAAATAAATATTCATCTAAAATTTTAAGAAAAAAGAAAAGTGTGTACCTTTTAATGTTCTTCCAAATTTCTAGTTCGTCTTGACAAAAATTTGATAACTTATATTATCCACAGTACATGCAACACACAAATAAATAAAAAAAATAATTAATAAATCTAAATAATAAAATAAACTATAAATACGAAAATAATATACATAAATAAAATAACTTACTTTTATCAAATGAAATACAAATGTTGGAACATGAAGGAGGAAGAAGAAGAACAGAGAAGAAAACCTTTGAGAATGAAATGGGAAAGAAGAAGAATGAAATGGGAAAGAAGAAGATTGTGGGAGAAATGGAGAAGACAGAAGGAATAAATGTGTGGGCTGCGAAATAAATTTCGCATTTTATATTTTATTTTGCGAGGGGCTACTCCACGCAATGCTCAACGGTCACATGGCGTGACAGCATTTGCGAGGGGCCACTCCACGCAGGGTATTAATATACAATTTGCGAGGGGCATCCCCTAACCACCTTTTGCGTGTGGCAGACCGTTTTGCAGAGTAATGCAGAGGAATAAATGTTTTTTCAGTGGGATTTGACTAAAGTAGGACAATTGGTGAGGGGCTGCCCCTCGCAAATTGTGAACGTAACGTGGTGAGGGGATACCCCCTCGCAAATTGATCAGCTTTTCCACCAAAAACTGCGTTGAACCCTAGTAAAAGTGCATTTCAAAATTCAAAAAATTTTCCCTCCTTCATTGCGAGGGGTATCCCCTAGCTAAATGTTTATATTTTTTTTCTCCCCTATTTTGCAGTTTGCGAGGGGTTTAACCTCAAGCAAATGGTTTTATTTTAGTGAGGGGTTTTCCCCCTAGCCCATGCCCCTAGCTAATTCAATGTTTTCTTGTAGTGACTATTGGCTCAGATGCAGGATATGATTTTCGAGTTAGGCGAAGAATGCACATGAGTTACCCACAGACATACAAAGATACAATTTCCACGCCAAAGTGATGTTCATGTCTTCCACATCTGTGCAAGTCACTGAATTACCTGAGAACAATATATCATTCGGAGCTTTCCAAATCAACTAAATCGCAACATGGCAAATAAAAAATAATCCCTAATTTTAGATAGACCACCAAGATTTATATATATATATATATATATATATATATATATATATATATATATATATATATATATATATATATATATATATATATATATATATATATATATATATATATATATATATATATATGAAAAAAGGTCACTAGATCTCTAAGTATAATCAAGCACTATCTCAGCCAACTAAAAATCCTATACCAAACTAGTACCATTATCTCACAAGTCACAAAAAGGTGAGAGGAGGACTCATTACCGTACCCGTGGGTAACCGCTCGAATCCGCTCTGAGTTTGACGAGGAAACTCCACTTTAATTGGATTTGAGTTTGAGTTTTTTAGATTTCAAAATATGGGTATGAAACGTGTAATGGAAACACTAATATTCACACTGAACCTGTCCTCGAACCTGCCCCGTTGATAATTTAAAATATTTGATTTTGATAATTTAAAATATTAAATGTTTGATTATTATATTAATATTTGATTTATATTTTATTATTTAAAATATTTGAAATATATAAAGAAATTTAATATTATTTTAATTTATTATTTCTAATGTTATTAGAGTTTGAAATATATAACAAGATTGCGGAAATGAATTATTTCACTTTTAAATTTTTTATTCATGTACAAAGATGAGATGGAGCAAGAATACCCGAATCCATTTAAGACATATTTTTGATTAATTTATTAATAGTTGCTTGAGTTTAGAATAAAAAACAAATATTAAATTGAATTCAAATTTAAATACGAAAAAGTAAAATTGATCTCTGCTCTATCTCGTTATCATGTCTAAACTTAAACATTTACTTGGATTTTTCATTAGATTTAGGATTTTATATGGACAGTTCTAAAATGACTAATTTTATCTTAAAATGACCATTTTACTTTTCACCTCAATATTCTTTTTAATTTATGAATGAAAGGACTTTTAATCAACGTGCTAGATTGGGATCCTACAACCTTTCTCCCGGAATCCCTCGCATTTGGAGCTTAGTGAAATACGAAGAATTCATAATTTTTTTTAGGCATAGTCCACATAAGACAGCAGAAGCCATACCAATTGATATAATCATTCGTAGAAAACTATTCATCAGTAGATCAATGGAACTGTTTGTATCCACATTACATTTATAACATAATTCCCTAATAAATTTTACCAACGGCTCAATTCTAGTTCTCTCTAACTTTGAAGCAATACTCTTGTCAGCTAGGGAACCACGTGATTGTGACACTTTTCTTCCACCTTACAATATTTGTCTGTGGTACTTTAGGTAGGAGCCACATGAACTATGAAACTAATAATTGTGAAAATAGAAGCAATAGTGTCATTATAATCTACTATTTGAAGATAAACAATATTATTCTAGGGTCTATAATTGACAAAACATCTCCCATTAATAATAAAGTACTCTTTATTTAAGCAATGGAGAATGCTTGAATTCAACAATACATCATATATTCATACTACATTACATTAGTGCAAGCTCTCTCTCCTCTTTGGAGAGGGCTACATAACTCTTGATAAAAAAAAATTACAATTGCACATCAAAATCAACTATATCTAGGCATACAAAGTAAAAAACACTCCCTTGTGGACTCAACTGCAAACTTTCTTACATTTTTTTTAACTGAAAAGGGAAAAAAATAACTGTAAGTGAATCCAAATTCTACTTAAAAACGCAGTTTCAGATGACTGATATGGCACGTGACTGAATAATACTCACTGTTGATTTGAGGTCGATAGTGATAAAAAGGTGGTTATGAATTTATTTACTTACTCCCTTAGGGAATGAGCTTAATTAGTTAAGGAGAGAAATTTAAGCGAGAAGTATAAGTCGATTTCGGAGACCAATTAGTTGGAATAACATCCTTAGCAGTGAGGCTTCTCCCACCGGAAGTGCTTAGTTTAACAGAAAAAGGTCCTCTCAAAGGTCCTGCAGTAATGCACCAATTTGCACCCCATAGATGTTTCATTTGCAGCCACTCAGTAGACCCAGCCTGCACCAAATCACCAAAATATCCAATCATAGTTATAAAAAAACAAAAACAAAAAACAATCTCATAATTTAAATTGTTAAATTTGTATATAACATTCTGACCCAGCTAACATAAAATTCATAAAATATAAGTATATGATTATTATTACATTGACAATGAGGAAATAAGTGTAGTTTTGTTAGAGGTCCCATATATCACATGTTTTTTGAGTTCACAAGATTCCGGAAAAGGAGAACCATTATGTGAGGATAATAATACTCTGGATGTAGAATATGATAGAAAAAAAGGATCTTTAAAAAGTGGCTCTACACGTGATGTGAAGAGACACATCCTCAACATTTGGAATTTTACACACATGGTCATGGCCATTCTTGTTATAATATACAATTGACACCAAAAAAGTAATGACCACGATGCATGCTTTACTGCACGTTTAGGCAAACTCCAATTCCTTTTAGCCATAAAAAATGTTACAACTTTGGTATATATCATGTCAAAAGCCTCTTTTAGTGGCATCTTATTTTCTAGACACCAGTGCAAGGTTATTAAAATTATAGGATTAGAAAGAAAAAAACACCAAATTAAGGATTAATAATATTAACAAGAGAAAAAGAGTGCATACTTCTTGTATAAGCATGGAGCCTATGTCCCCATCTCCATCCTCAAACTCCACTAGAAGTGACAACCAAAATGGCGTGGAGCCTTCATTTACTTGGAAGGCAATATTTTTGCCAGTGTATAAGCACGTTGTTCTGCAAAAAAGACAATCATAAAGATCACGAATGTCTCCTATTAGCAAAAATATACTCCTTTTCTGAAAAACTAATCACACACTGACACAAACACGGATACTATACATGACACCGTTGAGATGCATTACCTTCGGTAAACAACTGGAATTTCACCTCTATTTCTGAGATGACCGTTCTCACCAGAAACAGCCATGCGACCAAAAGCAGCACCACTGAGGTCAAAATGTGTTCTGTCAGACGGGCAGCCGGGGCATTCATCTGTTATGATAACCGTCACTGCCCGCTTGGAGCATATTCTATGGTCCAAACACTTCACCTTATAACACTCCCCGCACCCTTCTCCTTGCTTATACAGTACTGGCCCCACTGCCCCTACTCTTGCCCTTAACGGCTTCACGTCCACCAAATTACCGTACCCACACGCCCCTCCTTAACAAATCATGAAACAGACAAAACAACAATAATTAATAATGTTCCACAAACCAATATTAATTGTACTAGCTCATATTCATATTAATGTCATAATTATTCTTAAGAACTCACCTGTGCTACCGTCTCCCTCGGCCTCGCCGTACCAGGTAGCGGTTCCCGGGTGCCAATGTGTGTCGAGGTGGGCGCTGCTTTGCTTAGACTGTCCTTGCGCAAGAAGGAAGCATAGGCTTAAAAGAACCAAGGCGGAGACACGGTGGTGCTTCATCGTGAGTTAGAATGTCGGCACCGGATATTCCGGAGCCCAAGGAAAACGGTTGGAAAATGAGAAAAAAAACGGTTAAATGTGTTGCCGACACTTTGTTTGATGGTGGCAGTGGTGGTTTTATTTTCTTTAAGTTTTGGTTATGAGACCGTTAAAGGAGTTTTAGTTATTTTATAGCACTTCACAGTGTAAAGGGTCCACTTCAAAGAAATAGCTATTGACCTTATTAACCTTTTCTCTGAAGTATAATTACGGTAAGTGCCACTGCATTGGGTCCCACTGGCGGTTGAGACTTTAAATCCCACATGTGCGCAACGCAATTGCGTTTGTATGATTAAACAGAACGACGATGCAACAGAAAAGACTTTGTTTCTATTATCTCATAAAAAATTAAGTTTTGTTTTTTTAAATGCTACCGTTAACCCGTTATAGTTGTTGTGGAAACGGAAACAGTCGAATAAACGAGAAGGAAAATAAAGCAATAAAACGACGTTGTTTTGGCAACTTCATGCCGTTTCAACAGTTAACAGTATGCAGTTAGTGAGTGTGGATGGAATGGATTATTTTAACTTATTTGTTTTAATTTAATAATTAAATATTAAGATTATTTTATTTAGTGTATTATTGGTTTTGTCCAAATTAATTAGAGAAAAGTCAAATTAGCCGATGATATAATAAAACAAGCAGATTTTGTTTTATAAGGCAATTAGATGTTAATTAACTTTTCTTTTTGGAAATGCTAGATGCTTATAGTCGTGGAAACCATGTCTCCAGTTGAGAAAATAATTTAAGCTACTTCTGAATGATATTTGGTATAAACTGGTAATTTGTTGCACATGCTTGGAACTGATATTGGTAGTTTGTACTTGTTGATTCTTGAAGGTAAAGCAATGGAAGATAGAGTTCAGTCGGTTGGTACTGACGTAAAATTATTGCATTTATGCTTCCCAAGAGCATTTCAAGAGATTGAATCTTATTCCTAACGTGAGACAAATGTCAACGTGGTTGCTGTGGTGTAGTGGTTATCACGTTAGTCTTACACACTAAAGGTCTCCAGTTCGATCCTGGGCAGCAACAGTTTTGCTCTATTTTTCATGTGATTTTGGCAGCTATTGAGTTTGCAACCGTCATTGTTTATTTTAATTTTTGTAAAATGTCTATTTCTTTTTGGACTGGTCTTTATTGTGAAAGCTAATTCGTAAGCATTTTTGTTTTCAGAATAGTATGCTTTATTTTTGTATTCTTATTATTTAAATTTTTATTTATAAAAAATACGAAAAATGATAAATAACTTAATGTGTAAGAATCTTATTAAATTGTTTATTATATCATTAATCATTAAAAAATAGTATAACCATATATTAATAATAAAAAATTACACAGGTAAACCTTATTTGAAAAATTAAAAATAACTTTAATTATATATTAATAATGAAAAATCACACAGCATAAGATCTTATTAAAAATAAGCCATTTTTATACAAATTAAAAAATAATTAAGTCCAAAAATATACCATCTTTTTTTATACACAATTTTTCAATTTAGAGAAATATAATCCTTCTCGAAGAAAAAAATTCATCTGTGTTGCTCTCTAGCCTCATCCACATTCACTATTTTCTTCTTCAAATTCAAAATCTTTTTCTTTGAGGATCTGGGTTACTATTTGCTCTTGGGTCAAATTCCTCCTTCTCCTCTCCGGCAATCAAGTTTTAACTTAGATTCCTAATCTATTGTTGCTTTATCTGTAAGGTTGTTGGTGTTCTTCAAAGTCTTACAAGGGTCAGATTGTTCTGTTGCTCCAAATATTTTTGGATGGTGGTGGTTATTAGAATCTTATTTGTTTGATTCCGGCTTTCTTCCTTTACTCCGGTAAGAATGGTTGTTGCCTTCAAATTCCAACCTTATCGGGTTTAAACTTAATGTTTGAAACCATACTATTATGCTTGAAAGGACTTGTATGCTTGTTGTCGTTGTGGCAGAAAGTTGATGATACGTGGATCAATTTCCTGTTTGCGGTCAGTTTACTCGTCATCTTTTAATACTCTAGTTGAGACTCCCTAATAGAATGAGAATATTCCTAAAATAAATGTGTACATGATTGTAATGATGGTTACTCCCTCCATTCTCTTTTATAAGCAAATTTTAATTTTTAGATTGATTATATATTTGATGTATCTAGTCTATATATAGTTTAAATACATCATTTATTCAATGAACCTAAAAAACATAGTTTGCTTATAAAAGAGAATGGAGGGAGTATAGTGTAACTACTGGCTTAATTATAGCCTATAATATTTTATGTATTGTTGTATATATTTTAACCAAATCAATGAGAAATGTATGCAATATTGATCTTATATGATATCAGTAGTATCACAATTCTAACTCAAAAGGAAAAAATGCATCAAATCTCAGCAAGGAACAAGACCTCGCTAAAAAGACCACGTCCCACAATGAGTTAGAGGAATTCCTAAAGATCATTAAGAAAAGTAAGTACAAGATAGTTGATCAGCTACATTAAACACCTTATAATATCTTTATCCTCTCCCTGCTATTAAACTATGAAGCACATTAGGAAATGCTGATGAGAGTTTTAAATGAGTCTCATGTCACCCAAGACATTATTGTGGATCCGTTTGACGGAGTAGTCGGTAACATCACTGCATGTAGCAATATCGGCTTTAGCAAAAAAGATTTTCCAGAAGAAGGAAGAGCCCACAACAAAGTCTTACACATATTGATTAAGTTCCTCAACAATGTTCTTGCAAGAGTTTTGGTTGATATTGGTTCCTCCTTGAATGTCATGCAAAAATCAATCCTTTCCAAACTGTCGTTCAATGGAGCCTATATGAAGCCCAATGTTATGGTGGGAAAGGCTTTTGACGGGCCAAGGAGAGTCGTCGTTGGGGAAGTAGATTTACCCATACAAATTGGTCTTCACACCTTTTAAATCACTTTTCAAGTAATGAACATCAATCTGGCATACAGTTTCTTGTTAGGGAGACCTTGGATCCATGAAGTTGGCGTTGTTACCTTTACCCTACACCAGACATTGAAATTTGTAGTAGAAAACAAGTTAATAATCATCTCTGATAAAGAGGACATGTTAGTGTGTCATCTTTCGGGTACATTGAGGTGGCCAAGGAAGCTTTGAAACTTCTTTTGATGCTTTAGAGACTTCAAATGTTGTTGTTGTGGGTGGAAGAGATTACTTTGAGAAGACAAATTTTCCTATGACCTCATTGAAGAGTGAAAAGTTTGTAATGGATGTTGGAAGCTCTGAATGATGAGAGAAGTTGATGAATCTACCCAAGAAAAGGGATAAGTATGGGTTTGGATACAATCCTCCCATGGGGAAGAAGGGAGTCATGGCTCTGAATGCTGAAAATATGTTTATCCGTAGCATTCAAGAGACTTTCTAATGTGCTAGTTTTGTTCATGATAATCATGTGGTTGATGTTGAAGAAGACATTGTTGACGAAGAGGTACCCTTCCTGGTGTATCGTTACTCTCCGAACGCAAGCCTTGACAACTGAAAGATTGTTAATATTCTTGAGATTGTTTTGTTTTCAAAGTAATTTCTTGTATTTTCAAATCGTCTTGCTCTACCCAAGGCTTGAGGATAGCTTGTAGCCCTTCCCCCTTGTTTCAGTGAATTAATTATCATTAATAAACAGAATTTTGTCCCAATCATTTTTTTCCTTTTCATTTTATTTCTTTACTAATTTAGAAAAAATGGAAGAAAAAAAATTATTCATCCATTTCTTGTTTCTTTTCTTTCTTTTCAAAAAAAATACCAAATCATGCAGATTATTAAATGAACTCATTGAAAACAACATTGTTATAATCTTATGTGACTTTGAATCCCCAATTAACCACGTTGAAGAGGACTATGAGGACGATTCTGAACTTCCTGACTAGTTAAAAAGGTTACTAGAGCATGAATCTAAAGTGGTTCAACCGCATCAAAAGCCACTAGAGACAATCAACTTAGGAACTAAGCATGAAAAAAAGGAGATCAAGATCGACATTTCTTTAAAAGAAAGCAAATGAGAGAAGTTATTCAAACTCTTGCAAGAATATGTGGATGTGTTTGCATGGTCATACCAAGAAATGTTGTAACTAGACACGAATCTAGTCGAACATAAGTTGCCACTCAGACCATTATGCATTCCGGTAAAGCAAAAAATTATGCCTAATACAATGCCTCAAACTGCTTTCAGGATTATTGACTAGCCCCATAAACCAACATGAGTCTTTTCAGTATGCTTTGTGCTCAGTCACACACTTTTCGAGAAATTTCCCAAAAGGTCACCCATCTAAATACTACTCCAAGTCAAGCGCGCTTAACTATGGGGTTCTTATTTGTCAGACTATCAAAAAGAAGATGCATCTTATTGATATAGGTAGTACAAATCAATCCTTATAATCATTTCTTAAACCATGGAGTCTCATCCTGGACAGCCTCAGGATCCCTCTCATTTTGATGTGTATTCTGCGACCACTCTATACCATATTCGGCCTCAGGTGTTACATGTCCACCAGCTTCCACTTGGTTCATCCTCGAAATAAATTATACTTGGATAAGTCTAGCTCTAATACTATTTCTAACGCTCTAGATTTCTTTTAAGATTACTGACTGACCCCACAAACCAACACGAGTGTTTTAAGCATGCTTTGTCCTCACTCACACACTTTCCGAGAAACTTCCTAGAAGGTCGCCCATCCAAATACTACTCCAAGTCAATCAAAGTTAACTATAGATTTCTTATTTGTTAGACTACCGAAAAGTAGATGTATCTTGTTGATATAGGTAGTATCAATCAATGCTTATAAGCTTTCCTTCAACCATACAGTCTCGTCCTTGCACATCCTCAGAATCCCTCTCATTCTGGTGTGAATTTGGCGATAACTTTTTTCCCTCTTCGGCCTCGAGTGTTACAACCACTTTCTGCCCTTTTCGGCCTCAAGTGTTACATGAAATAAAACAACAATCAACATC